GTTCTTGGTCACCTTAGCTGTCAAGAAGTTGAGAAGGCAGAGGCTACAGAATATAAATCAGGGCTGTAAAGAGTCAAATACATCTTCTAGATTTCAAGTTGGGTGAATACAGCCTGAATAAATACAATAAAACTCTCAAGTTGAACTTTTCTGAAGACTTCTAGCACATGAGCAATTTTACCAGTCAATGGCAATGATAAACTCCAAAGGAAAGTCGTGCTACTGCTGTGTGTAGAATGCTGTGGTGCTACCACTTAATGAACCCCAGCACTGCGTTGTGTGTTTAAATGCCTTATTTTAAACTCTCAATTTTATGAGATGATTATCATCATTTGCATATGAAAAAACCAAAGGTCAAATTTTTAAAAGGTAATTGCCCAAGCCACATAAAATAACAGAATGTGGACTCATACATATGACAAAAAGATTACCTTTCTACTGTAACAAGGAGCCTCCAAACATTATGAGGAAGCTGTATTAGTTTTTCCTAATTTCTTCCCTAAAAATTCATAACACACCCTCAGATTTTTCATTATTCTTGAGTATTTTGGAAATATGATAGTTGAATACATTCCACAGGGTCATCATTGCTCTGTAGTTATCCTCTAGAGTTAGTTTACTTTTGTGCTTGATACCCATGTTCAATGTCACCCACAAAATATTTGGACTCAGAATCATCTTTAAAGAATTTAGATGTGCTACACTGTGAGAGAAATTAGCTTCACAAGCAATATCACTGCAAAGAGAACATAGAGGTTCTGAAAGGAATTCCACCATCACTGGATTTCATGTGTGCACAGCAAAAGCAACACAGGCTAACTCTGCTTGGTGAGTTTGGGAATATGCCCCAAAGAGGAGGACACAGTTAACTGTCCCCAAAAAGGAAACTTCTCTGGGGGAATAGAAGGATAATCACATAACCTTTGAGGTAAAGGTTAAATGGGAGGCAGCATGGACCCCACATAATCTTAAGGCTGAGAAATGTTAGAGAGGTCCCAGGTTGGAGAAATACAGGCAGAAAATTCTTTGCCATCTTACCTGTCCTGAGGCAATGGGAAAAGGGGAGCTATTGACCTATAGGACACAAGTCTCCCTCCAACACTCTAGGAGAACCCCAGAATTCAGGTTGCAATCAGAGATGGAAGATGTTAAGGCCTCACCTGATGGGGAAATATTCAGCAATGCTGTCAGTTGCCACATGGACAGTTTGGTTGCTTCTGGAACCCTGTTTTGGACAAAAGGAATGCGGAGAAGGGGTCTTAGGAATAGGCTGAGACAAGCTCAAGATAGAGAACATAAAGGTTTTGGTTATGAGATGCACATTCCTTAAATTATACCCAGGGAGTCAGTCCTGCAAAACACTTGATATGCGCTCGCTCGCGCGCTCTCTCTCTCTCTCTCATGAAAGTGATTATAAACAAGATCTCAACTGACTAGCTCTCTTGCTTATTTTCCTACAAAGATAGGTCTAATACATTAATTTCCATTGAGGAAATATTGGGTCTGTTATATACGTACATGAGAAATCCACAGCCATTGTAAGCTATGATCTCTTGAGCTCATTTAAGCTCTGGCTAAGTCTTTATTTCCAAATGTTTGCATCTCACTTTAAAAAAAATTATTAGTAGTTTCAATAGCCATGAGATTACTCCTTAGAAATAACAATTCTGTTAACTGGAAAAAGGTTTTCATCGCTATTATACTTCAAAAAGAATATCAAAGGGAAAACTGTACTATCAGCTAAGATTTGGTTCTCAGATATAAAAGTTCTACCCTTGCGGTTATCGTGAGCTAGCCATGAGCACAGTCTAGAATAGGAGGGTTCTATGAATTGAGTCAGAATAAGGCGTCATCCACCCAGAGGGAACAAATCTGGGAGGGAGAATCACTGTCAAGGTAAGACAGTTTCAGAGTAATAGTTAACATTTTTTTGAGTAGCCATTATATTCTGGTGCTTACTGAGCTCTATTTTTCATATTAAAATTTGTATTATAAGGTATTTAGAAATTATACAATAAGAGATGCCAATGTGCAGACCATAGAAATTTAAGGTAACATTGTCATTTTTGCTTAAAGTCCATCTTTTAAAGAGATAAAACATTACAAATTCAGCTAAAGCTTCTTGTGTATCACTCCAATCATATTTTTGTTTTTTTATTTTTAGCACACCTATATTTACAGTATTTGCCTTTTTCACCCAGCAAATATTTTGATATTTACCTATGTTGATACATGTGGATCTGGTTGATTCACATTAGCTTCTACATGGAACTTCACCGAAGAATGAATCTCAGTTGATCCTCTCCAGTAGGGTCTTTCTACCCTTTTAACATTCAAAAAGTGCTGTAAAGACCAATCCTGTGCATATCTCCTTGTGTACTTGTGCAAATTTCTCTAGGTCCTCTCCTTGAAGCAGATTTTCTGGGTCATTAAGGTATGCTCCCTCCAACTTTATTAGGCATTGCCAAGATTATTTCCAAAGTGATTGTGTCAATTTACACATCTATCAGAAAGGTATGAGTTCTTTTGCCCACTTTTTTCTTGGTATTTTTTCTTTCTTATTGTTTTCTAAGTATTCTTTTGGAAATTATTTCAATGCAAATAAATTGTTCCAATCTATGGTTTAATACTTCACTTTACCAGTGTCTTTTATCACAAAAAAAATCTTAATGTGGAAAATTGTAACATTTTCCTCCTAGGTTTGTGCTTTTTGTCTTAAAAAGAAACTCTATACCTCAGTGTGATATATTTATTTTCTTCTAAGTGTTTAAATATTTTTCCTCTTCACATCACATTTATCTTCAAACCAGCTAGAATGTATTTTTGCGTATAGTATTAGGGAATCTCTTTTTGCAGAGATAACCATTAAAAAAAGTCCATCCTTTCACCATTGCTTTAAAGCTATCTGTCATAATACCATGTTTTCATATACAGCTTGGCCTGTTTCTAGGCTGTTTTGGTCTATTCATCTGTCTCTATTTGCCTGTTGATGTCACACAGCTTTACTAAATTACTATAATTTTCTAATAAGTCTTGATATCCAGAAGGGTAAGTTCTAATTTTTTTTTTCAGAATTACTTTGCTCTTCTTGCTCTTTATTCTACCATATAAATTTTAGGATTAGCTAAATCTCCCATTAGTGTCTTTTAAAAAATCTATTTCTTAATAATTTGTTGGTAGTGAATGGGAACTATTAATTTTTTCCTCAGTTTTGTGGTTGATTGGCCAAATCTTTTATTTAGTATTCCATCGCTGATCAACACAAATATTTGATATTATTGGGGAAGAGGGGAGGGGTGCTGTGTGGCAAAAAAAAATCATGTTGTAATTACACTTGAAGTTGTACTGATTTTCCAAATTAATCTGGCAAGGTTGAGAACGGTTATGATAAATTCTTCTGAACCATGACAAGACATGAATCTCCATTTATTTAGGCTTCTTTTATGTCCTTTAACAAAAATTAGCAATTCTTCCATTAAGGTCTTACACACTTTTGCCAGGTTAACTCCTGGATCTTTTTTTTTTGGTTGAGCTATTTCTTGCATTTGATCTTCTGGGCCACTATTGCAGCCTCTCCTGTCATTCACCTACTTTATTATTTTGTCAAAAAATCATGTTTTTAGCGTCATATATGTGAGTGTGTTACTTTCAGGTCTCTTTAAGGACTTTTTGTTGTTGTTCAGGTGTTCATCTGCTTCTCTAGCAATTATAACACTTAACATGGATCCCAATATTTTGACCCGATCCGTCTTTGCTCGTTAGAGATCCTTGACTGTACAATTACCTTCCTTTCAGATAAACAGAGGAATTCACAGGAGCTAAATGGAAAAGGTGTTTCTTACCTTGTGCTTGGGGTGAAGAAAGGAGATTCTCATATTCTTGAGCCACTTTGGAGGAAGCCTCTGTGATCTTTGCTCAAGTAAGAGTATAGACCACTCAACCCATGCCCTTGCCTTTTGTGGACAAGAGGACCTCATAACAGGCTGAGATCCTCAGATGTTGAAATGCCAAGCTCTCAGAGATCCTCTGAGTTTCTGAGCTCTAATGATGCTTACTTTTGTTTCTTCCACCCCTAGGGGAAGAATCCCAATTCTCCAATTCTCTAGAGCCAAGGGCAACTAGCTTGCAGTTAGGAATCGAAGCTATCTGGATACCCAAATCCACCATTGGTATATTTTCTACTTGTTTTTTAAAATTTGTTGGTGGTGAAAGGGAATGGTATTAATTGATTTTATGGGGGGCGTTTTGCAGTTTTGTGGCTGGTTGGACAAATTTTTAATATAGTATTCCATCCTAGTTCAACACAAGAATGGTATTTTGAGGAGTAAGGGAATAGGAGATTCTGCAGATTTCCAAAGAATAAGAAAACAGGCAAAATGTGGCCAGCATTCTCCATTTGTTTTTTTAGACTTACTGAGTGAATAGAACTTTCTTTCGTTACATATACGACTGATCTAAGTGGTTTTTGTTGTTGCTGTCGGCTGTTTGGTTTTTAATACGGTTAACACTGAGATTCACTTTGAAAGACACTTATAAATCTTAGGAGTAAAACACACCAATCCCTCCCACTCTCCCAAAAATCTAGTTGGTTTGAATGGACAGAATGACCGAATTTTCCATTTTAGGTGTGCAGAAAGATCTTTGTAAAAGATCTTAGAACTTTAGGCCTCATTTATCAGGTGAATTTAGAAGGAAGGAAGCCTTTAGGAGAATTTCTACTTGGAAATATAAGAAAACTAGTACGCAGGTTCAAGTCGTATATTTTTAAATGAACTTGTTGAAAGAAACGTTAACAATTCCAAAACGAAATCAAAACAAGTTTTAACTTTTTCCTCTCAAGAGTACAAAAAACAAAAATTATGGAGAGAAAGTTAACAGGAAATTCTTAAAACGTGAAAACAACTCTTCCTTGCGCTAGTCCTTGAGTAGTTACCATAGAACAGTCTCTACTTTTCGGCAGCTTCTTTGAATGCAGATTTTGGTCCCAAGTCTCTTGGTGCTTAGTATCTGCTCCGGTCTCCCCCTCTCTCCGCACAGCTTCCCAGGCGGCCTCCGCCTAGTGGGGCCCTGCGGCCGGACCCGCTGTAGGACTCGCGCGGGGGCGGGCACCTCCTCTCCATGGACCGCGGCCTCCCGCGATCAGCTCTGCCTGCCCGGTCGCGGCCCCTCCAATAGCGCTCGCTCCGGCCGCCACCGTAAGCATCGGGCGGGCAGCCGCGGTACTCGTCGTAACGGCCGCCGCCGTAAGATGGCGGGGGCCCCCGTGAAGGGGCGGCGCTGCGCGGGTCCCCGTAGCTCTCGAAGGGGTCTCGGTAGGAGCCTCCGCTCGGGTGATACAGGTAGTCGCGGTCGCGCCCCCCGTAGCCGTCTCGGTCACCGTAGCCTCTCGATGGACAGTCGTCCCGGGCGCTGGAGTGGCCGTAGTCGCGGTAGGTGTACTCTCTGGGCGAGGGAGCAAAACCCCGGGGGTCGCGGGCGCTCGAGTAGTCGCGGCTCGACGAGTAGCTGTCTCGGGGCGAGTAGCCCTCCTCCCGGGGGCCCAGGTAGGGGTCCCGGCGCGGGGGCGGCGGCTCCCGGCGCAGCGGGCCGGCATAGCCGTCTCGCCCCCGCGTGGCCGGGGGCCGCCCGTGTATTCCACCGTTTCCGCTGCGGGCCGGGCCCGACGGCGCGGCCCTCTTCGGGGGCGGGCCGGCCCTGCGCGGCGGTGGCGGCCCGCGCTTCACAGGCAGCGGGGCCCGGGAGGACCGCAGGTAGAAGTCGCCCGCGTAGCCGCCTTCGTCCGCCGGCCCGCCCCGGGACTCGGGGCGCCGTGGGGCGCTGCCGCGGTCCCCGAGCAGGCCCCTCGGGCGGCTATGGGACGGCGGCGGGCCCCGCCGGCTGCTCTCGAACGCCGGCTTGGTGGCCTGGGCTACCTTTATGGCCTTACCATCCAGGGACTTGCCGTTCATGTCTCTGGCGGCGGCCTTGGCATCTGCCGGGCTTTCGAAGGTGACGAACGCGAAGCCCCTGGACTTGCTGGTTTCTCGATCTTTCATCAGGAGCACCTCGGTGAGGCAGCCATACTTGCCAAACGTGGCCTCGAGGATTTTCTCGTCGGTTTCGAGGTTGAGCCCGCCAATGAAGAGCTTCCCCGGGCGATCCACTTCCACCATGTCTGCGGGTCGGGTGGTCAGTGGCGTGGGCGGCGAAGTCGAGGCACCGGTCTTCGCTTCCGAGCCCGCTGGCCGAGGGCGGCTCCTACCGGTTGGGCGGTGCGTCGTCGCGGAAACCCGCGGAAACCCGCGGAAACTCGCGGAAACCCGCGGAAACCCCCGGAACCACAAGTCGGCTGCGCAGGCGGAATGCTCCGGTTTGTGCCTCTCGGGTCTAGTTCCCGCAGCCTGGCTGGCTCTTGCTGGTTGTGATTGGTTGGTGGTGCGGGGAGGGCCGTCCCGCCCGGCAACGAGGCAAGTTGGCGGTTTTGTGACTTTTTTCACAGTCGTTTAACTACGACTGAGTAACCTATCCTTGGCCTGAATTCTTTAAGTCACTCCTGAAAAAAAGTTTTTCCCATTGCTCTTAATGAGCGGAATTTTAATGCATTCCAATCCACGTTACCCAAAACCATATTCAAACAGAAAAAGTAGTTGAAAAAAAATGGAATAATAATTTTAAAGTTTTAAAATGCAGTTTGTACGTAAAATGTGTTAAGAATACGATTTTTTGCGTTGCCAAGGGGAAAGAGAGAAAATGATAAGTGGAGGGTTCTTTGGTGGTATAGGAAGAAGAGGGAGTCATTCTTTGGATGTGCCATCTTTCCCTCCTGCACCGTTTTCTTGCATTTTTCAACCTTCAAAGGACTCAGTTATGTAGTATTGAAACTGCCCTTTAAGATAAATATTGAACGGAAAGTCACCTGAGGGACAAAATAAAGGCAAATGTGACAGCACTAGGACACTCGCCAAAGTAGCACCTAAGCAAGCATAGGACACTAAAGCCTTTACCGCTTCATCGCGAAAGAAAGGCGCACCTCAGGAAAACAAAACATTTTGGGTTCATTCTAACGAATTACACAGTTCAGATTTGTTCCTCACGATATTCTCTGAATGGAAATAAGTATGAAAAGTAAATTGGTGAACTATCTTCACCCAAGATAGTAATGTCTAAAGTCACTTTTTAAAAAAATATTTACTTTGTGTGGGAGTGTGTATATATATATTATGTGTTACATTTTTTTTATTGCAATAGCCATATAATCTTGAAAAGGGTACTGCAAGGAGGCATTTTTATGATGTTTCTGATTTTAATGGGTACTCTTTTAAGGCTTTGAGAGTTTTTTAGCATGCATAAATGGAAGTTAAAGTATAAATGCATCCCATCAGTTCATGTGAGGAATTGCAGTAACAAATTTTTATTATTAAAATCATTATTATATTTCTAAGGTAAACTTACCTGTTGGGATGTATTCATTTTTAAATATATTAACGAATTTTGTTTGCTCATACTTAGAAATTTTACATTTCTGGGCATAAAGGGTATTAGCCAATAATTTTCTTCCCCATACCTAGCTGGGGAGATTTTTGCCCAAATTTCTTTTAGTTTTCAGTCTATTCAGATTTTTAAAAATTTCTTCTTGACTTGGTCTTTGTAAGATATACTTTTTTCTAAAAGTTATCCATCTTTGTTTAATTTGAAAATTTATTTTATCAATAGCCTGTCCGGTTTTGCTTTCTTTTTTTGTGACCAGTCTTGCCAGAAGTTTTTTACCTTTTCAAAGAACTACACTTTTTCTTTGCTGATCCTCTGTTTTGATTTTATTTGCTGCTATTGTCTTTTTTCCTTTCCATAATTCTTTGGATTTACAATTTGTATTATTTTCATTCTAGATTTTTAGGTAAGACACTTAGTGCATTAAGAGTTTCAAAAAACATTTCTTCTGATTGTTATATCTAAGTTTAAATTTTACTCTCCATGTACTAGTTAACAGCCTGCCCTGAGCTGTGATACACGGTTATTTTCACTGTTGTTCAGTTCCTAACATTTTCTCATTTTCATCATTTCTTGACTCATGAATTATAAAGAAGTATGTTTTAAAAATTTCAAACATATGGATATTTTTGGTTTTCTAACATGCTCTATATGATATCCATACGTTGGTATTTGATGAAACTTGCTTTACGACCTGAAGTATATGTGTGCTTTTGTGTGTGTGTTGTGTGTCTAATAGTCCACGTATGCTTGAGAAGAAAGTATATTCTCTAAATATTGGGGTAGAATTCTTTCCTTATATAGTGATGTTCAAGTCTTCCTCATCCTAACTTATTTTTTATTTGATAGAGTTGTTGAGAACTGTTTTAAACTCCCATAATTGTGGATTTATTAATTTCTCTTTATTTTTATGTCCATTTTTGCCTCATGTAACTTAAGATTATATTGTTAAATGCATGAAGATTGAGAATTGCTATGTATTTCTGGTGAATGATTTTATTATGTAATGATCCTCATTATTTATAATATGTTTTTTACCTTAATTTGTTTTGTCTGACACTTATGTAGCTCAATATTTTTCAGAATTTTTTCTGCCAGCTTATTGTGTGCCGTCTGTTAACCATGCCTTTCTTGCCTCTTTTTTCCATCTTTCCTGCCATCTCTGGTATCACATGATTTGACTATTCCTTTCTTTTTCCTCTAACAATATGGAAGAAGTTATGTTTTCTATATCTATTCCTTGAATGATTACCTTTAATGTTTTTATTGAGGGCTAACTTATAAACACAAAATTTACAAGTTTATGTATAAAATCTTAAATTTACTGCTTAATTAATTTTTACATATGTGTACATCCATGTAAACATGGATGACCCACATCAAGATCTATAACATTTCCATCACCCCCAATTGTTCCCTCATGCCCCTTTCAAAATAATACCTTCCGCTCAGAGGTAACCACTTTTCTGACTTACATAAGCATACTTTTGTTTTGCTTGTTCTTTGACTTTATATAAACGGAATCATATAGAATGAACTCTTCTGTGTCTGGCTTATGGCACTCAGTATATTTTTGAGATTCATCCATGTATTGTACACACCAGTAATTGCACTTTTTCTTTGATTTTTTTAGTTGTTGTACGACTATACCAAAATATTTTTTTTTCCATTTTTCTGTTGATGGACATAGGAGCTTGTTGGGGAATGATTCCTTTTTCCTCCAGTTACCACAATGCCCTCTCCCCATATAATCAGTCCCAGATCCCACAATACATCCAGAATCCATTCACTTAACTACTTCTGCACTACAATCACCTTCATACCAACTACCTATGTCCCTTAGCTGGACACCTGCTGGGGACACAAAGTCTTATGAGTGGGTAAAATGGTCAACAGTCCCAAGGGTCTGGGACTCCTTGACAAGGGAGCCTCATGTCCCTTGTCAAGTATCAAAACCCATTGGTGATCTGTACCCGGAGCTGCAATTAGATTGAGAGAATATAGAAATGTAAGGGTTGATAGAATTTAAGTGGAGGTTTGGATGAGAATTGGAATGTTTAAACAGGCTTTACGTGAAATGATTGGGTCTCTTTGTCTCTTTTACCTGAGTGTATTATGTGGATGGATATTGTATCTGACTGAGGAATGTTTCCCCTACCTACTGTTGTAAAACACAAGACAGAAATTGCTCCTTAAGCAGCATTAATAGGACATGCTAAATGGGAACAAGTAAGATTGCCTGAACACAAACGATGCGACCAACAAGGAATTAATTTCCAAAATATAAAAACAGCTCATACAGCTTAATATTAAAAAAATAAACAACCAAATCAAAAAATGGACAGAAGACCTAAATAGACATTTCTCCAAAGCAGACGTACAATGGCCAACAGGCACATGAAAAGATGCTCAACATCCCTAATTATTAGAGAAATGTAAATCAAAACTACAATGAGGTACCACCTCAAACCAGAAGAATAGCCATCTTCAAAATTCTACAAATAATAAATGCTGGAGAGGGTGTGCAGAAAAGGGAACCCTCCTACACTGATGGTGGGAATGTAAATTGGTGCAGCCAATATAGAAAACAGTATGGAGGTTCCTTAAAAAACTAAGGTTACCATATGATCCAGCTATCCCACTCCTGGGCATATATCCAGAGAAAACTCTAATTAAAAAAGATATGTGCACCCCAATGTTCATTGCAGCACTCTTTACAATAGCCAAGACATGGAAGCAGTCTAAATGTCCATTGACAGATGAATGGATGTGGCATATCTTCATACACACATACACACACACACACACACACACACACACACTGGAATATTACTCAGCCATAAAAAGAATGAAATAATGCCATTTGCAGCAACATGGATGGACCTAGAGATTATCATACTAAGTGAAGTAAGTCAGACAGAGAAAGACAAATATCATATGATATCACTTATATGCTGAATCTTAAAAAATGATAAAATGAACTATTTACAAAACAGAAATAGACTCACAGACATAGAAAACAAACTTATGGTTACCAAAGGGGAAAGGGGGGAGGGATAAACTAGGAGTTTGGGATTAACAGATACACACTACTATATATAAAATAAACAACAAGGACCCACTGTGCAGCACAGGGAACTATCAATATCTTGTAATAACCTATAATAGAAAAGAATCTGAAAAAGAATATATATATATATACACACACACATATATAGACATACATATATATCTGATTTACTTTGCTGTATACCTGAAACTAACACAACACTGTAAATCAACTATACTTCAATTAAAATTTCTTTTCACAAAAGATTGCCTGAGCCCACACAGTATAGAATAAAACCCTGAATGCTGGTATGAGTGAATCCTCTGTACCAGAGACCTATGTGGAGTATAAACAGGTTTATAGCAAAAGCTTGTGAACACTCCACAGTAATGACTCCTGGGACTTGGACTAGAGAATTTCCATTTGAGGGGCAATTACTAGCTTGCTATTGAACATTAATTGAAACTGTCCCTATGACTGAAGGACAAAAAAAATAATCTTCTCACCTCGCACCCATTAGTATGGTTACTATCAAAAAAAAAAAAAAAGAAAGAAAGAAAAAAACAGAAAATAACGTGTTGGGGAGGATGTGCAGAAACTGGAACACTTGTGCACCTACTGGTAGGAATGTAAAAT